AATTAAATGTTAACAAAGATTTGTATAAGTTTTTTGTAATTGATTTTAAACATAACGACTATTCTATGAGTTCTGTATTTTGTGATCAGATCTTCAATCTTCTGTCTCTTAGTTGAAGAATACATGAAATAGGATTGAAAATAAGTAAATACTTAACAATAATCACAAACATTTGTCTAATTATAAATAAAATATTAAAATTATAATTTTCAATAATTTACCATACTTTAATTATAAACCTAATTCTAATATTTTTAATTTCAATAATTGATTGAATATGATTATGTTTATAAAATTTTTACCAGTTTATACAGACTTGATTATAATTAAAAAACAATGTGCAAAATTCAAAACAAAATATTTACCATAAAAATTATATCCATATTTAACCTGCTCAAATAATATCAAATACATTATATATTTTTGTTATATTAAAAAGTTTAATAAATTAAACAGATAAAGTTTCATATTTCAAAATGCAATGGTAAAATTCATTGCAAAGAAGCTATATAATAATAAAGCATTAATATTATTATTTATAAATCTATTAAATAATCACAATATTAAGAAAAATTAACAATATTTGAATATAAAATTGCTACTAAAAGTTGGATAATAAGTTAGTAGTAATATTATATTACACATGCATTATATAATATTAGATAATAACATATTATTTGTAAATAAACTGAACTCATTTCCTGACTCTTTCATTGAGTGTATCATTTTTGTCAAATATATGATAATAGAAATTGATTTGCATTTTTACATAGTTTTAGTTATATGTGAGAAAATATCATATAAAAGATGTGTGAATGGAGTGAAGAAAACGGGACCTTAAGAACCAAAACTAAAGAACAGACAATTGAATGCAAAAAAATATATAATAAAATGAGAAATATATATAAATATAATGGAAGGAAAACTGTCGACACTTTTTATTACATGAGAAGAAGTGATGCATTTATATTATCTCATGTTTGCGCCATTCGTAACAATGGCTGCAAACGAATTATTCACCAAAAGAAGTGGAAGAATAATTCGTGAATAATAGGAGCGCATCGCTAGTTGTCTCTATTGTCACGTTATTTTGGTTGCCTTTTATCATACAGTGCTCTACTCTAACAGACTCTTGTATAATGTACTGAACAATACATTAATGCATTTACTTTACATCTCTCTCTCTCTCTCTCTCTCTCTCTCTCTCTCTCTCTCTCTCTCTCTCTCTCTCTCTC